TTTTCCTCTGCCGATTCTTCCCACCCGTCCCACCGTGGGGGAGTGAGCGAGCGGCTGCGTGGGGCTTAGTCGCCAGCTGGGGCTAAACCACGACAAGAAGTCAAGCCCCTCCAGCCAGATTGGGTCTGTTCCACAGCCCAGAGCTCACAGCTCCATTCATAGGACAGATATGTCAAGGGATGGAGAAAAATCAGCTATGATCTTCTCAGTTAAACTTTGCTGCAGGAATAGCTGTATTGCAATATGGAGTCAGTGCTGAAGATGATCTAGCACAGAATATTTTACAGTCTGTTTAGAAAGAGTCTTTTTGGGAACAGCTCGTTCAAATGAGGGTGACATTCCACCTACCCGCCTGCACAGGCTTTGACACTGGCCTGGGATGAATTTTTCAGAGAGGTTTGAACTTGCAATCTTTTTATACAGTACTTGCATTCCAGTGAAGGAAGCATGTTATTATTTCATAAAGCCAGTTAATCACCTTAGACCTTGAAGCAAAAGCTATTGCTCAATTTTAACATGCAGTTAAAAATGCAAATCAGACATGGTTTTGCCTAGATCTTTTGAAGTCTGACCGCCTCATTCTGCTCATTGATTTTGGTCTGTTGGGGTCCTCTACCACACGATGCTGACTTATACACTAACAGCAAATTAATTGGAGCAGCATTTCTGTTTGTGAATTTTGATTTTGTTGACCTGTAGTTTTAGAAGGTTGCACTTTGGTTTTGGCTTAGTATGAAGGAGCACTGGAGTCAGTATCACGTGAAATCTTATACACTGTAATTTTTCCCCATTTTTTCCTCCCTTCAGGGTTGAGCAGCAGGGAAATATAATTATCTGTAGACCTAATGAATCCCCAAAGCTGTGAAAAAATCATTAAAAAATTGAAATGAAAGTTCAGCACAGGCAGTGGGCAAGCTGGCCCACATGCCATGGCATCGCACTATGGTTCTTCTTGAGTTTTGCTAGCCAGGTATTGCAGGCCTTAGGGAAATACTCTGTGCCAGAGGGCTGAGAAATGTGCCAGATTTTCAGCAGGTTATAAATGAAGGAAGAAGCTCTGTTTAAAGCTTGGAGGATCTTCAGCCAGCACAGTACATGCAGGGCTAGAACTAAATAAACAAGACGGTGGTAGGGTTATTAGATTTTAAATCACACATGAACTTATCCCTTCTGATTCTTCATATATGTTAAGTCACAAGAGTCCATTTTCTCCATTCTTTTTCTTTGCATTTCAAATGGAACATGAGAAATCACACAATCTTTTCTGGACCTGCCCACAACAGAGCAGGAACAGCCATTGCTCTGCGTAGGCACAAACACCAAAAACATCCATCATCACTTTGAACATCCTTCTCATTAATACTGAAGAGCTATTTGGTCTTGGTCTACTGTTTCGGTCTTAGAAAGCTGTTCTGGGTTTTTCAGGGTTTGGGTTTTTTTTTCCTTGTGGTCTGCATTCATACAATCAAATGTGATCATATTAACATTCATTAATAAATATAAAAAATAATTCCTCAGTAGCTACCTAGAAATTTGTATAGCATTTCTGCAGGCCAGCTGTTTCCTTAAAACACAAAGCTAAGAAATAGAGGAGGGAACCCAGATCAAAGACAACAGGATTATTTCAGGGGTGACTGTCATGATTTCAGTATGATTTGTGCACTTAGTAAAATCTCTTTTTCATCAGAGAAGACTGCAGGCAAGTCAGTTTAACTGTCCAATTTCTACAAATGGGAGGAGAGTGATAAAAAGACTCCACCCTGCCTCACAGTTCCACCCCTGTTCCCTCTATATGCAGTGCATTGCTCCCCTCTGAGCACGGGACCACAAGAAAAGACCTTGCTCCTCCTTCTACCAACTTGTAGCCTTCAGCAGAGAAGGACCTTTCTGCTGCACTGCAGGGAGGGAAAGGAGCCACATGGGAAGCAGAGGTATCAGCTCTGGTTAAATCCCAGCAGCTCTCACACTGCCCCTCTAGCATGTAGGAGCCACCTCCCTCCCTCTGTTTCCCAGAAACAGGGAAATTCGGACCACCAGTGGCTGCTAAACCAACACCTGACACATAACGTCAGTAATCTGAATCATACAAAAGGGAAGGGCACATTTTGAGAATCAGATACTTATATGGCTGTATCCCTGATAGGCGTCCAAACTCCCGTTACAGTAAAACCAAATCTAGTTGACAGAGATCTGTCTCCATGATGCCTGAACTTTGATATCTCAGATTGCCCCTGAACCTCATCCCAGACATTTGCTGCATTTGAAATAGAGTGACAGGCAGCCAGTCCCCATCTCAGACCCCAGAGCTGGAAGCCTCTTCCTGGTGGTCGTTTGGGTGTCTCTGTCCTGGGGAGTGCATCCTGTGCACCCCGCTCGAGGCAGCACGACAGGCTTAGCAAATGGAGTGAGGGTGACACCCTCCTCACCCCCAGGAGGTCCTTATGGTAGCCCCAAAACAGGTCGTGACCCACAGCACATGGGATGTTTTCAGGGAAAGCAAAACCTTGTCCCTTTAAGTATACTC